TGACCAAAAAGAGAAAGCTAAATTCAAACCTCTATAAAAACTTGTTCTTATGTCTAGCAGAGCAGCATGGTGATAAAGTGGCCTAATGGTTAAATGCTCAGCTGTTAACTGAAAGGTTGGCAGTTTGAATACACCAGCCACTCTGCAGGAGAAAGATGTGACAATATGCTGTGGAACCCCTGTGGAGCAGTTCTACCTGCCTACAGAGTCACTATGAGTTGGATGGAATCCACTCGACAGCGTGAGTTTTGGTAGCTTGGTGATGGGGAAATGTGGTACAACAGAAAAAACAAAGAGCTTGGAATCAAAGGACCTATAATGAAGTCTCAAATCTTCTACCAGTCAGCAATGTAAACTTGGCCAAGACGTTTTAGTTCCTGAGCCTGTTTCCCTATGTATAAATGAGCAGGTTGGGCCAAAGGATCTCTAAGCAATTTTCCAGTATAAATACTGCACGAGCCTATGAAATCACAGTCAAGAGAAGTGATTGCAGGAGCAATTGTTAGTAGATATACTAATAATAGTCTATAACTAGTAGTTATTGATCCATGATTAGTAGTTACAGACTACCGAACACATATAACATAGCCTAGAAATGCCAGGAAAATCCAAGTGAATAGAAACACAGTGCTGGGTTTCATGAGGTCACTCCCACTGTGGACATTTCAGTACAGTATCAGGAAGAATAGGGAGATCTCCACACACATTGTGAGATCCACTACAGGGAAAGTTTACAGAGGATATGAGCATTTTTTACTTAAATGGGATTCTGAAGAATGAGGAATCTCTCATGCAGGCAAGGGTATAAAGCATTTCAGGCAGAGCAAATGGCCTAAGCAAAGCAAGAGGTATGAAATTAAGTAAGATTGTGCATGGAAAGCACTTAGCAGAATGCCTGCCATATGGTAAGTGTTCGACAAATGGTGGCGGTTGTTTCAGATGATGGCAGTGATGATGGTGATAAAAGTGCACAGACGCATGAAAACGGAATGAATTAGCTGAAGAGTCAACTGGAAAAGGAGGCTGTTCTGAAGTACCTTCTTGTGTGTCATGTTCAGGAATCTGGACACTACTGTGATAAAAAGGAGGAGTTAGCAAAGACTCTTCAGTAAGGAGTTAAATGATGACACTGAAGTTTGAGGATCACCATGTCAGTGGTATAGACAGTGGACTGGTGGCATGGACCAGGTCTGGGAAGTGTTGTTGTTGTTGTGTGCTGTCAAGTTGACAGAGAAGAACTGCCCCCATAGTGTTCACGGGCTGTAATCTTTATGGGAGCAGACGGCCAGGTCTTTTGCCCATGGAGCCGCTATGTGGGTTTGAACTGCCAACCTTGTGGTTGGCAGGTGAATGCTTAACTGTTGTTTCACCAGGGCTCCTTCTGTTCTGTTTCTAAGGACTGGGAAGACTTATTATTAAAACAGGATATCATGATGCCCTGGAGCCCTTCATACTGGACACCGACCCCACATGCGGGGTGGAAAAGCAGCCTTCAGTTCACACTAGCCATTTCTCAGGTCCACTACCAGCCTGGCTTTTTAGGTAAAATAACAGGGCAGTAACCAGTTAGCTGGCTGTGTCTGAAACATACGTACCCTTGTGGCATTCGTAGAGGGTATCTTCAAGAGGCAGATCATAATTCTCAAACTGGAGTCAAGAGAACACTGTAAACAAATGTGAAAAAGTACATCAGTACATATTTCTTCATCTGCCTTTTGCTTGAAATACATCCTTTAAGCATATATTTTAGAAAAAATTTGAGACATAACTGCCTCTCTGCAGCTGTGTCATGCCATTTATTCATGTTGGGAAAAAAATTATTCTTGGGTTAAAAAATAAGTAGACAATTCATTCTGTAAATAAACAACAAAATAGAACAAACAAACAAACAAAAAATAAACTCACTGCCATTGAGGCATTTCCAACTCATAGCAACCCCCATTGGGTTTCCAAGGCTGTAAATCTTTATGTAAGTAGATTTCCCTGTCTTCCTTCCATGGGGCAGCTGGTGGGTTTGAACCACTGACCTTCAAGATAGCAGTCCAAGTGCCTTATCCACTATGCCACCAGAGCTCCAAAACAATATTAATCAATTAATAAACATCATCCCTATTTCTCAAAGATATAGACATAAAATTAGAGAACTGAATAGACAACTGCATGATTAGATGATGGTTAGATGTTAACTATGTCCAACTCTAAAGAGGTATGCTAATTTGTGAAAGGCCATGTTGGGGGAGAAGAAAAGCTATTTAGATCTATTTAAAAGCAGTGGGAGCTCTGGTAGCATAGTGGCTAAGGCACTTGATTGCTAACCAGAAGGCTGGCAGTTCAAACCCACCAGCCACTCCTGGGAAGGAAGATGGGGCAATCTACTTTTGTAGTGATCCTGCCTCGGAAACCCAAGGAGGGGTCGCTATGAGTTGGGTCCAACTCAACGGCACATAACAACAACAACAAAAGCCGTAGGCTCGTTAGTGCACATAGGAACTAGTTTTGTCTGCTGATTCTCTACCACTCAAAGATATGACAAAACCTTGAGAAAAAGCAATAAATTTTCCACAATAGAAAAATCATACCTCACAATTCTATTAGAGTTGTATTTGGGCAAGATTCTATATCAAAATGTATTTTTAAAATTGAGTTTAGTGGGATTCAGGGAAAATGTTTCAGTGAAAATAATGAATTATGTCATTTAACATGCTTTAAATCTCACAATTGCAGGGTACAGTTAAATCTCTGCCACTGGATGTGACAGTAAGCTCTTTAAGATGATACCAACTAAGGCAGCATCTCCCCAAGCATCCACCTTACCTGGAAACTCGTTAGAGACGCCAGTTCTCAGGCCCTACCGCACCCACTGAATCAGGAACTGGGGGTAGGGCACAGTGACCTGTGTTTAACCAAGCTCTTCTGGGGAGACTGATGCAAATTAAAGTGGGACAATCACTTCTCCAGGTTTATGAAAAATTACAAAATGTTTTTCAATGCCTTAGTATTTTTACCCAGAGATTTAAAAAAAAAAAAAAAAAAAAGGCAGAAGATATTAGATGCACTGCCCCATCCCAGATCTCAGCTCACAGGGCAAATCCTCACATAAATTCTGAAAGCCCACCAATTTCACAAGAACCTTCTAAGGGAATCCCTGGTCTGTTTCATCTGCTCCACCCAAAGGAGTTGATGATTTTTGCATTACTCTAAACTAGGCTAAAACTCTCTGCCCATCAGGTCCCTGGAGTGTTGTAAAAATCAAGAACATTCATCTTGGAAAGAAGTGGTCAGCTCTGACAATGGCAGGCCTACAATCCCACGTCACAGCAGGTCGCTGGGGCCCAGTGGCTGCTGAGCCCTTTGGAAAATAATGGTGCGTTCCAGTACTCAAGGGTCTCAGTTCCCAGTATCATCTCATCTCACTCCACTTCACTCATTTGCCTAGCACGCAGGGTCCTGATAGGCTAAGTGCCACAAATTAGGTTTACCAGTTGTTTACAACTGGCAACCATTTCAATTGGCCAGTGTTCAAGTTAAATAAATATTTGGACTCTGGCACAGCCTGTAGGCAATTGGACTGACCCTGTCTGCCCTACTCCTTCTCTTGGACTGTGTTGTCTCTTTAGTATTGAATGGCCCTGGGTAGCTCTTGGTCCTGGACAAGTTCCATGTGCCATCTTAAAATGTGTACACTTGATTGCCCATGTGTGTATGCACAGTAGCGATATACATACATGGTTTCAAAGTACTCCTCCTCCTTGCTTGGATTTATTCAGTTCCTCAGATTTGTGGGTAGACAGGAATCATAGCATCGAGAGATGATAAGGGGATACATAGTCAACCAGAAATACTATTTTGCTCTGTCAAGTCCTTTATTCGCAAGCACAAGCTATCATTTCTTTTTAGAAAACTCTCTAAAACTGATCATTTACATTCTATGTCTGGGCTTCTTTTAGACAAAACTATTTATTTATTGGAAGCTTTGGTGGGTAGTGCCTAAGGCATTTGTCTGCTAACCAGAAGGCTGACGATTCAAACCCACCAGCCACTCCTTGGAAGGAAGACTGGGCAATCTACCTCCATAGTGATACCGCCTCAGAAACCCAAGGAGGGGTCGCCGTGAGTCGGATCCAACTCGATGGCAGTGCATTTGGTTTGGTTTGGTTTATTTATTTATTAACAGTATAGCAAACATTGTGAGGCTGGCACAGGACCGGGCAGTGTTTCATAGGTTCACTGTGAGTCGGAGCTGACCCAACAGCACCTAACAACAACATTTATTTCTTTAATACCCACTTGAGGAAAGTTTCTAGATAAACACAATCTACTAAGGTCTTTCTGATTTTTTTTTTTTTGAATGAACTGGAAGCATCTGCGATCACTGAGCCACAACTGCTTCCTGTGCATTGCTGCTATTGGCAACATTTGGAGAAAACAGTCTAAATAACTCTCCTCACTCAGTGGCTGATAGAGATGCCTTGTAGCCCTTTATAATGCATTAAATCACCCAAGACCCTGCTTCCTGTGTTGTTCTCGGTAAGCAAATGGTCCCGGCAGAATGTCTTAAGCCTTTTCTAAAGTATCTGTAAAAAGCAGGAAAAGTATTGGAAGAAGTCCTGGCTTCACTCACCTTCAGAGGTAAAACACAAGGTAGCTTGGCAAAGAACGTCTGAAACTGGTTGCTGATCGTAGTCCAGAGGCTGCTGGGAGAATCCATGGGCAAAGCTTCCATGAAGGTAGCAATGTTTTCCAAACAGCGTATCATAGCACCCCCTGCTGGCAAATTCTTTTTGTTATTTAGACCCTAAAAACACAAAAGCATAGGCAATCAACTGCTGAGACAAAATGGGAATTTGCATAGCTACTTGGTGAAGATCAGTTTAAAAAACACATGTTCGTGTTATAAACATGTATTGAGTGCCTACTGTAGGCCAACCACTGTAACAGGCAGGAGAGATACAGAGAAAAATTGACAAGTTCAGACAAACTTAGGGGTCAAAGTTAGTGATTTTTGGCTCAGTGAAGGAAGGTCAAATGTGAGCAAGAAATAAGAAGCACCTTCTAACAATGTCCTGTTTGTGTGGCTAGGTGCCAAGAAGACACAAGGATGAATGAGGTGCCTGCTGGGAAGAGCCTCCCAGGCGCAGACTGAGTGAGGCTTACAGGAGCAGCAGACTCCCTGTAGGCATCAGAACACCCACCCCAGCCTACAAGCTCACTGAGAGTTCACCAGCGGTGGACTGGAGACTTGAATCCAAGCTCCTCTACCCACAACACCAAGCTTCAAACGTCAACTGGGTCCATGGAGGTGAATGCTTGGCGCCTGGCTCCTATCACTTAGCTGAAAGGGAGCTTTAGATAAACAGTGTTGGTGGTGTTAGTTGCATCCAGGTGGCTCCCACTCATCGAGACCTTATGTATAACAGAAGGAGACACTGCCTGGTCTTGTACCTCCTTCATGATCACTGGCATGTCTGGGCCCACTGTTTTGGAACAGTAATGTTCAAATGACACTCTTCTTTGCTCTGGCAACTTTTAAATTAAATGACTTTGAATTTCTTCCTCAGAAGTACTACGTGGAGGGACCAAAAGAATCATGTACCTCAAGTGCAGCAGGGGCCTAGAGTATACCGAAGCAAACCCACCTCCAAGAGCTGACTGAGTGCAGCAATCGAGCTCAGCTCATTGAAGTCCATCAGAGACGTGGCTAGGGTCCGTAAAAAGGTCCCATCTGGAAAGTCAACAGTCAGACTTAGTGCTGGTGTTTCAGTGAGCAGCCATGTTTGCAGTGTCTGGGCCTTCCACGGATGCTTACCCTTGATAGTGCTCTGGAACAGCTGTGGGAAGATGCCATTGGGAGCCAGCTGATGGAAGATACAGCGCAGGAACTGCTTGGCCACCCCAGCTGCATTGCCTGGAACCATCATGCTAGAGTCAAACGGGAGAGAAGACAAGGAACCTGAGCCAACATCACTGGCTCGCACGGTTTTTTAGAGTTTAGACATTTGTACCCCACTCCTCCTACAGGATTGCTCATTGTCATTTCTACCCACGAGATGGAATAATCTAGTCATATCTAATCTTCATAAACTGTAAGTTTTTAGAAAGAGAGAACCATGAAGTACCAGAGTTGTCCAGACTTACTCCAGAGAGAACAAGTGACCACCACATCCGCATGTCTAGAGAACGGCAGAGTCAGGACTAGAACCCAGTATGGTGGTTATCAGCAAGATCCTCCCAGAAAAGTGTCTTTGGTTAAGAGAGGGAGCTGTTCTAAGGAAAAATGTGGGAGATTTGGGAAGTTTTCTTGGGACAGTTGAGCTAGCACTTGTAAAAGGATAGGACTTTCCCATCAATCCCTCATACCACTTCTGCCCATACATCTTTATCTGGCTCTGCCCCCTAGACCAAAGTGCCAGAAAGCATGTTCCCTGAGGTGCTTGGGGTAAGTTATCAAATGAAGAAAGAAGAAACCAAAGAACGCAAGTGGACAAAAGGTGAAAAGTCCCTCTTGTCCACCTGCTTCATTATGCCACGTCTGCCCTGAAATGCTGGTTCAGTCTTCTGGGTCAAAAATGCTCTGCAGGAAGAAATCACACCAAACTTACACAAACTCTTTCAAAAGATAGAGGAGGGAACCTTTGTCAGTTTGTTTTATGAGGCCATAATACCCTAAATCAATAAGTTACCAATGCCATTACAAAAAAAAAAAAAAAAAAGGCATGAAAAAAGACCAATAGTTCTCATGAACACTGAATCCAGTTACAGATTTTAAGGATGATAAAAAGGACTAGATCATGCCAGGCTACCACTACTGAACATTCAGATTAGGTACATAATAGAGAAATCCCTATTTAAAGGGGGAGAAAGGTGGAACAGAGCTTCAGGTTCTTAAAGAATCCAGACATACTGGACCTACTGAGTCTAGGGGAGTCTCCAAAACCATGGCCTTCAGTTGCTCTTCAAATCTTGAATTGAAACCATCCCCTGAAGTCATATTTCAACTAAGTAACTATTTAGCCCAAAGAGTGAAGATTGTCACTTGATACTGCGTTCCTTTAAAAATAAAAATTTATATAAGACCAAAGGGTCAACAACTGTTTTAAAGCCTAGATGAGAAGGTTGAGGGGCAGGAAAATTAAGTCAATGAAGTGAAACAAGTACAACAGAAATAACAGGAGTGTTCACACAATGGGAGCAGTTTAACCACTGTCACTGATCATTCTGTCTAGAAACTATGTGACGCGAGCGGGTTTGCTTTGTCTGTTTTCTCTAGAAATAAAGTTGTTGTTTTAAAAAGGATAGTACATCATGACCAAGCAGGGTTTATCCGAGGAGTGTAAGAATGGTTTATCATTCAGTAATCAGTCAATGGAATTTAATATATTAAAGGAACAAAAGAGAAAAACCAAATAGTTATTTCAATAGATGCAGAAAATGCACTTGGCAAAATTCAATACATATTCATGAAAGTTGTTGTTGTTGTTGTTAAGTGCCGTCAAGTCGTTTCCGACTCATAGCGACCCCATGCACAGCAGAACGAAACACTGCCCGATTTCGCGCCAGCCCCACAATCCCTGCTATACTTGAGCCCATCATTGCAGCCACCGTATCAATCCATCTCCTTGAAGGCCTCCCCCTCTTTCGTCGACCCTCCACCCTACCAAGCATGACATCCTTCTCCAGGGAATGGTCCCTTCTTACAA